GGATTTCTCAGGAGCCAAAGGTTTCTCGGTGGGAGTCCCAGAACACAGCAGCAGGGAGCAAATGGCGAGAGCAGGTGGAGGACAGGGTTATAAAGGCCCTAACTCAGGGCACAGAGTGCAGGAGGGAGCGCCGGGGGCTCCTGGGGAAAGGCAGTCCCAGTTGTGGGGCTGAAGGAACGGAGTAGCCCTGCAGCGGCAGTGAGATGACCAAAAGCCCCAGGATGAGACAGGATGGGGGGATGTGGCCATGAGCAGATCCCTGGCCTGGGGTGGAGGAGGGGAGGCCAGATGACAGTGACAAGAAGGTGGTGCAGCTAGAAAAAGGAAGGCACCGGAGGACTCTACAAATGTCCTGGGCAGTGAGAAACAGCAGAAAATAAGTCCTGAGAAGGCAGTGGGGGGGGTGGGGGGGACGGGGGGGGGGTGTTTGTGGTTGTAAGGAGAAACACCAGGCAGCCAGAAGGGCGGGAAGCTGGTTAAGTGAGGTCACCAGGAACTGACTTCAGGGCCAATAAATGTGGACACTCCAATTACCTGGTGAAGGCCACATGTAACAGTCGCTGTACATCAGACAGTGTGCCGTCAAAGTCACGCATCGGGCCAGGGCCTGATTGTTTTAGGTCATCTCTGAATTCTGCATCCTTCTCTTCGCTCTTAACACAACTGTGGTAGAAATACAGGAGTGTAAGCCAGCACTGCTCCCCAAGCTGTGCCTCTGCAGGAGAACTAGCCCCTGTCATCCAGAGGGGACTCTGTACCCCACAGCAACGGCCAGTCTTCTTTTGTAACAGCTAGTTTCCAAGGTTTCAAAGTGCCAAGCGAAAGCACAAAGCACATGCACCCATACTGCCCAGGGAGCTGTCCAGGGAAGAAATTAGAAGTGAAATCAGAAGTGAGTTACCACGTCAGCCAGAACTGTGCCAAGCCAGGTGGGAACAAGAATTTATTCTAGGAGCTCTTTATGCCAGGCGATGTTCTAGACTCTGGAGAAACAGTGGTGACTCAGAGAAGGTCGCTGCTCTCTTAGGGCTTCCTCCCACACTGACTGTGAGGCACAGAGGATGAGGGGGAGAGGGATGGAGCAAAGAGAGGGAAGGGAGGATGGCAGTGCACACATCAGAGTGAGATGCCAGAGGAGGGGGGAGTCTCAAAGGGAACAAAAAGTAGGCACCCAGCAAGGCATGACCAATGAACTCAGGCCTCCTCTGAGTAGGCCAAAGTATGGTCTTCAAAGAACATGTATTGTCAAGCCCAGGCATCCGACCATTTCACATAATCCCATTTTTTGTTCCCAGATGGACAGTTTGAGAAACTGAAATGTTCACTCAATTCCCTCTGGCTCAGTCTGTGACAGGCTGGAACTGTCTGAAACTCTGAGATAGTTCATCTAGCAGAATGGCCTCTCTGTAAATATGCTTGTTATCATCTACTGGGCCCCTATAAGATGTTTCAATAGCAAAGGCAGCTGTGAATCTAAAGAAATATTGTTGGGAATTAATTTTATTTGTATGCTGTCCAAACTCAGAGATTTTAAAAGTGATTTTAAAAAATGACTCTATATATTTTTTTAAAACTTCAAAATTCAAAAGTTGGAAATCTGAAATAACTGGTAATGAATCTTTGATCTTTTCAAAGAATGGCTTCATCTGTGTTTATATAAATGAGCCAGTCAGTAGACAGGCTCAACCAAGCTGGAGCTGAGAAGAGTTTGGGGAGTAAACATTGTTCATTTCACACTGACTGGAAATAGACATCAATTCACATCTGAAACCCTTTCATGCACTTTTTTTTTCCCATGGAAGTCTCCATATGCAATTTTTTAAAATATACACATACAGAGTGACTGGAAGAAAAGACATCCAAATCTTCTCTAGAGAAGATTAGTGATTTGTTCCCTCTATTTTCAAAAGTTAGGCAATAACTTGTATCATTTCAAAAGCAGAAAAAAACTGATTTTTTCAAAAATGAAATAGAAATTCCTTTTTTTAAAAAAGGAAATATTGTATGTCACCTTGTTCTTATAACCCTAATCAGAAAGTTTAACTACAAGTATTTTACTGTCATCTTTTCTATAGAAAAGTAATCTTTTCTATAGAAACATTGTCCACTAATCACCAAAGTTAAACAGTCCAAGGATTAGAGTTAGAAACAGGACATAGGCATAAGAATCTCAGCTCAAATCCCAACTCCAATACACACCAGCTGTGCAACCTCAAGCAAGTTTCAGAACCTCTCTGATTCACTTTCCTCATCTGTAAAATATCAACTGGAAGAATTGGATGGGCAGTTAGAGGACATGTACATACAGGCAATAAGAGGCCTATACATATGCAAAGCTACAGAGGAAAAAAGTTGTTTTATCTGTGTCTCCCAAAGGTGACAAGTGTACTCAAAGATAGTGGCAGATGTAACACAAATTATTAATTTGAAATATTTCTTTTGAAAACAAATACAGATAAATTTTCAAAGTAAAAGACAAGACTTAAAATGCTGTGCTTAGGGTCGATCACCTCTAAATTTGCTTCCAGTGGAAAGGGAGATAAACAATAAGAGGCACATCAGAGAGATCCTAAGTGCCTACTATAGATAATAAATAGTAGCTACCAGCATTACCCTCAGTGGGTAAGTACCATAAATAAGAACAATGTGCCAAGGCAGTGGGCAGGCCCTATAACTGCTGTGTACTGTTAAGTGCCCAATTCCTGCTGTAAACTGTGAATATATGCTAAGCAACCAATATGGCTCCCCAGAAATACATAGGAACTATGAGTCTGGAAAGAGGCAAGCACACTCTAACACAGAAGCACCTCTCTTACATTTTGGTTGAAATAATGGCCATCCTCTACCCAACAACCACACATAAAATGCCAGCATTGGAATGGATGCAGCTCAGATTTCCTTTTGTAGTTCTCAGGAGCCAAAGCAATGTGGTGAAGCTCTGGGTTGTCTGGTTTGGAGAGAGGGAAAAGGAAAGAGGAGGGGCTGAACTGAGACATGGGAACTGTTACTGTCATATGAATTAAAGAGCACAAATTCCTTTTTATTAGAAACTGGAATCTTGCCCCTTTCTACTGGAGAGCAGAGGCCAACATGGGATGGCAGCAATGCCTGGTTTTGATTAAAACATCTATATTAGCCAACCAGTTACACAAACCATCCATTCAATTAATCTGCTTTTGAATTATTATCTTCCCCTGAGTGAGAGAAAATTATTCCTTTTGTGGTTACCTGCTCTGCTTCAGGGGCTAGGTCAGAGAACTCCAGCCTGACAGTTTGGTTCATGCAAAAATGTAAAGAAATAGTAAAATGAAGTATTTCTTGGAGAAGGGGAGTCGTTAGCCTTCCAAAATGCAAATAACTCCCCAAATCCAAAGAAGCAGAAAATTCCTTCCAAACACATTAGCAGAGGTCTATTGCACCTTTGGGCTTATCTGTCTGGCACCTCTCTTTCTTTTAATTAGGTGAAGTTTCATTTTGCCTTAACAATTGCTAACAAAGGCTTAATTCTCTGCCATAGATGAGACCCAGCATTCCAGGGCAGAGGGTGCAAAATCACTTCTCACTTGTAGGACTTTTGGTCAGCCTTGAAATTCCTGTATGTGGGACTGATAGCACCTTAGATTTAAGAAAAAACTCAGGGATCATCCAGGGCAATGTTCTCACTTTCCAGATGTGGAAGAAAGTCTAACAAGGGTCTGTTCTCCGGTGATGAGGTTAGAAGTCTTCCTCCTCCCTGCTTCCCGCTCCCCTCTGTGGGACAACCTGGTAAGAACTCTAGCTGTTTTGTTCTATTGCAAGATAAACCCTCTCACTAGAAACCTGCATCTCACCCACACTGCAATTTTCTTCTGGTCTTCATTCGGGTGCTCTATAGGGTACTCCCTAAGATCCCCCAGAACAGCCAGGCCTGGAGAAATTCACCTCATGGTCCTTTCCTGTCACTGGGTCTGGCTGGGCAAGGTAAGGCTATTAACTGTGACAGACAACTCACTGCTGTGCTCCTTCTAAAACCCTTGACCTTGCCATTCTTCCCACCAACTCCCTGATGATGATTGAGGTTAAACAACCTCAGAGAAAGAAGTCTTCAGAGTTCCAGCTCAAGCCGCTGTCAAATGCTGCCATCCTTCCTCCGCCCTGTGTGCTCCTCTTTCTAGTCAGCATTCTGCCCCCATCCCCACACCACACCTGCAGAACTGGGACCCAGCACGACTGCCGCACAACCTGGTGTGGCCTCAGGTAGGGAAGTCAGACAGCTCTTGCCTGCTGGGGATGCTGGGGGCCAGCCACCTGTAGGGGGTGTCTTTCAGGAGTTGGATGGCACTGACCCTGGGGGCGCCCAGGAAATTCACTCTCCTTGGCCTCTGGGGTGTGACTTTCCTCCACAGCCCCATCCAGCCAGGTCCTCTGCAGGCTCCCCGCCCCTCGCTTTTTTCTTTCTCACCGTCCTTTCCTTTCGACCCCCACTACCTGGCTCCCCGCCCGTCTCTCCCTGCTTCCTCTCACAAGGCACTCCCGGCATGTTTCTACTGTGTCTCCAATTATGTCTAAAAGCAACCCACCACAGATGCTGACATTTTAAATGTTTAGTTGTTATAGTTACTTGACTAATTGCCGGGCCCAAAGGCGGCCTCCTTCGCCTCCCGCAGACAGGAGAGAAGGGGACAGAGGGGGTTGGGGGTGAACGAGGTTGTAGCCGTCACTCCCCGGGGCCAGGAGGCACAGCCAAGCCCGGACCCGGGTGTCTTGCCTCGGGGACTCGCGGCGCCTGGGCTTCGGGGGCAGCGGCCGGGGCGCCGAAGGTGTGCCCTGTACCTCCGCCCGCCTCGAGACGCCGCGAACAGTCTTCTGCCCCGGGACAGGGGAGCAGCAGCGGGACCCCGCCGGTGCGCGGAGCCGGTGGAGGAAGACGGGTGGCGTTTTAAATAAACTGGGTACCGGGTGGCCAGGGGCGCGTTCGGGGAGGAAAAAAAAAAAGTTAGAAGCCTCTGCCGGGTACTCACGTGCCAGATGGCGAAGAAGATGAGCGCAGCGCACAGCACCAGGGACAGCATGTAGCAGAAAGCAGCGAAAGTGAAGGCCATGGTCGCAGCCCGCACCCCAATCCCTCCACACACAAGAAGCCCCTGGAAGTCAATGGCCTCTCCAGGACCTCACCCCTCAAAGGGGGCACAAAGGAGCCACGTCTGCACCCTCCCCTCGAAGCCGGTGGCTAGGAGAAGTCACGCCAAGCAGGGACAGACTTGAGGGTCAATGAGCAGGGACAGGATTCCCGCGGCTCCGGCGACCCTGGCGCCAGCCCTCCCGCGAAGACAGGAAAGGGGGTGTCGGGCGTCGTTGGTGGCAACTGTCCCCCAAACGAAGAAGAAACCAAATCAGTAGAGAACTCCTGCAGATTAGTGCCAAGCAGAGAGCCCTGGAGACAAACTCGGCGAGGGGTGCGAGGACTCCAAGGAGGACCGCGCGAGCAGCTCTCGTGCCCCAGGGATCCCAGGGGACGGCCCTCCGCTGTCCGCGCCCACGCGCAGGAGGCGAGGCGAGGGTGCGGCTCGGGCCCCTCCCGCGCCCCCAGGGCGCAAACCGAGAGCCTCGGCGAGGTGCCTGGGAGGAAGGACTCCAAGAGCCTCCCAAATCCCAGAGCCGGCAGCGACTCTTTCCCGAGAGAACAGGCCGTCAGATGGCCCGGGAGGGCCACGTCCCCTTGGCCCCGCGCCCCGGAGGGGGCTTCCAGGGCTCCCGTGCGCTCCCAGGCGCGCCCAGTCCCGGTCCGGGTCCCGCTCCCGGCCCCGGCGGGGATCCCGGGGCGCCGGCCTTGGTCACCCAACTTCCCTGCAAACTAGGAACTGGACCTGGGAGGCCACGGACTCCAGCCCGGGGACCTGCTCCCGCCAGGGTGGCCGCAGTGGCGGATTTCAGGCCGAGCGCCGCTCGCCGCGGAGCTCGCTCCACCTGCTGCTGCCGCCGCCTCTGCCACGGCGAGAAGCCGAGCGGCAAGCGCGGGGTCCCTCCCTCTCGGCGCCCCACCCTCGGCTCCGCGCCGCCGAGCTCGCCCTCCCCGGCGGCGGGAAGGTGGGCGGCGCGACGCCCAGGGGCCCTCGGTCGCCGCTTCCGCAGCCGCGCGCGCCGGGCTCGCCGAGGAAACTTGAGGCCGGCGGCGCGGGCGGGGCCGTGGGGGGGGGGGAAGCAGGGACTCTTTAAGCACGTGCGTCTGGGGGAGGCGGGAAGCTGCGGAAGGGTATGGGGTGTGCCTCGCGCCTAAGGGCGTCAGCCGCCCCTCCCGATGCCCGCAGCGTCGCCGGACTGAATGGAAAATGCGGCGCTGGGGGAGGGGGGCTTGTCCTGTGCTGGCTGGAGCTACGGGACAAGCCCCTGGACCCGGGGTTGCTGTCGTGCCCTTGATGCTCCAGACGCCCCCAGTCCCTGTAAAAATCCCCTTGGGCGTCTTTCCCGGCATCCTCCCCAGGCGTCTGACCTTGGGATTGGGGAACCAGCCTGTGGACGATTCTAGACAGCAGAGGCAGCCGTGGTGGCTCTGTGTGTTTGGTGTTGGTCCAGCGAAACCCTCAAGAGTCTGCGCTTTCGAGTCAAACCCCTTTCTGGCTGCAAGTTTTTTAACCTTTTTAAACCTCGGTTTTCTCATCTGGAAAAAAAATAAAGATGAATACTATCTATAGTTTTTAATTAAATGGAATATAAGAACCGAGTACAGAGTCTCGCACTTCAATAAATGGAAGGGATTACTGAGAGGCGCACCATACTTCCTTTGAAAGAGATTTCTGCTACAGCAGTGAAAGAGGCTCCAGTGATTCCAGACAGAATTTGGGTTTCAGATAAGTCAGGAAAGAGGAAACTAAGCCTGGAAAGTTATTGGAAAATCTAGTGGAAGACTAGAACCACATCATGGTTTGGTGTGATTGCAGAGGGTCTAGTATGTTGTGCAGAGCTGGGCACACAATAGTTGTTGCTGATTCTATCCCTGGTGTGCTGGTTGCACTGTTTACAAATGTGATTCCGATGACTTCAGAGCTGAAAGAAATGAATTGTCAAAAGCTAGTACACAACTAGTTAGTGACAGAAATGAATTAGGGTCTACAGACTCCTAACCCAAGGCTCTTTCCACTACACTCCCACCTTCAGCTGTTGGGCTGCACCTCTAATTTGCAAACTAGATGCCTTTCAGTGGGAAGTGAGGAAACTAGAGCAAGTCTAGCAGCTGCTGACAAAGTGGTCAACAGATCATCATTTAATTGCCTCTGCATCAGGGCTGGCTACATATTTTGCAGGCTCAAGTATAAAATGAAAATGTGGAGCTTCTTGTTTAAAAATAAAAGTATTGGACTCTGACTTTTGCTCCCAGTCCTACAAACACTAAAAAACGGCAACTCAACCTCTCTCTCCACCTCCTCCACGTTAGCAAATGCCTGCAGTGCTCTTCTGACCTCTCTGGATTTGACCCTAGTAATTCTTTACTCTCTTGTTAAATCTTTGATGCTTTAAGAAAAGGCTTTTACACAAATAAACAGGATCATAAATAAAAGAGGAGAAATCACAACGGACACAGCAGAAATCAAAAGAATAATCAGAAACTACTATGAACAGTTAAATGGAAACAAGTTCAACAATCTAGAAGAGATGGACAAATTCCTACAACTCTACAATCACCCAAAGGCTAGATAAAGAAGAAATAGAACACCTAAACAGACCAATTACAAGCAGCGAAATTGAAATGGTAATAAAAAACCTCCCCAAAAACAAAAGCCCAGGACGTGATGGATTTACAAATGAATTCTACCAAACATTCAGAGACGAATTGGTGCCTATCCTTCACAAACTCTTCCAAAAAATTGAGAAGGAAGGGATAATACCAAACACGTTCTATGAAGCCAACATCACACTAATACCAAAACCGAACAAGGACAACGCAAAAAAAGAAAACTACAGGCCAATCTCCCTAATGAACACTGATGCAAAAATCCTCAATAAAATTTTAGCTATCAGAATCCAACAATGCATCCATAAGATAATTCACCACGACCAAGTAGGATTCATTCCAGGGACACAAGGATGGTTTAACATACGAAAATCAATCAACGTTATCCAACACATCAACAAAAAGAAATATAAAAAACCATATGATAATATCAATAGATGCCGAGAAAGCTTTTGACAAAGTGCAACACCCATTCATGATAAAAGCCCTTGAAATTCTTGGGATACAAGGAACATACCTCAACATCATAAAGGCCATCTATGAGAAGCCAACAGCCAGTATCATTCTCAATGGTGAAAAGCTGAAAGCAATTCCATTAAGATCTGGAACAAGACAAGGATGTCCACTCTCACCACTGCTTTTCAATATAACACTGGAAGTCCTAGCCAGAGCAATAAGACAAGAGAAAGACATCCAAGGAATCCAAATAGGAAAACAAGAAGTCAAACTATCACTATTTGCAGATGATATGATAATATACATAGAGAACCCCAAAAACTCCACAGAAAAACTAATTCAACTCATCAATCAGTTCAGTAAAGTGGCAGGATACAAAATCAACATGCAAAAATCAGTAGCCTTCCTATACACCAACAATAAATCTGAAGAAGAAGAAATAAAAAAAAAATCCCTTTTACTATTGAAACAAAAAAAAAATCAAATACTTGGGAATAAATCTAACAAAAGAGGTAAAGGACCTATACAAAGAAAACTATAAAACACTGTTAAAAGAAATAGAAGAAGACACAAAGAAATGGAAAGACATCCCCTGCTCATGGATTGGAAGAATTAACATTATTAAAATGGCCATCCTACCAAAAGCAATATACAGATTCAATGCTATTCCAATCAAAATTTCAATGTCATTCTTCAAAGAAATAGAACAATTATTGATGAAATTCATATGGAACCACAAAAAACCCCAAATAGCCAAAGCTCTCCTGAAAAAAAAAAAGAAGGGAATGGAGGCATCACACTCCCAGAGTTCAAACTTTACTACAAAGCCATAATAATCAAAACTGCATGGTATTGGAACAAGAGCAGACACACAGACCAATGGAATTGAATAGAAAATCCAGAAATAAACCCACATATTTATGGTCAACTAATCTTTGACAAAGGAGCAAAGAATATGCATTGGAGAAAAGAAAGTTTGTTCAATAAACGGTGCTGGGAAAACTGGGTCTCTACATGCAAAAGAATGAAGCTTGACTACTACCTAACACCATGCACAAACACCAACTCAAAATGGATTAAAGAACTAGACATAAGACCTGAAACCATAAAATACATAGAGGGAAATATAGGCAAAACACTACATGATATGCACATCAAAGACATCTTTACAGACACATCACCCAAAGCAGTGATAGTGAAGGCAAAGATCAACAGCTGGGACTACATCAAATTAAAGAGCTTCTGCACAGCAAAAGAGACAATAACCAAAACAAAGAGAAATCTCACCAAATGGGAGAAAATTTTTGCACCAACACTAACGATAAAGGACTGATCACAAAAATCTACTAAGAGCTGATGAGACTCAACAAAAACAAAGAAAATAATCCAGTCAAAAAATGGGCAGAAGAGCTAAAAAGAAATTTCTCTGAAGAGGAAATGCAAATGGCCAACAGGCATATGAAAAAATTTTCAACATCACTTGTAATCAGGGAAATGCAAATCAAAACTACAATGTGAGACCATTACACCAGAGAGAATGGCACATATTAAAAAAACTAGCAACAACAAATGTTGGCGAGGTTGTGGAGAAAAAGGAACTCTCCTGCACTGTTGGTGGGAGTGCAAACTGGTCCAACCACTATGGAGGGCTGTGTGGAGATTTCTTGACCTAGAGCTTCCATATGATCCAGCAATTCCACTCCTAGGTATTTATCCAAAGGACACAGAAACATCAATTCCAAAAAGCACCTGCACACTTATGTTTATAGCAGCACTATTTACAATAGCTAAGATTTGGAAACAGCCCAAATGCCCAAAAATAGATGACTAGACCAAGAAGATGTGGTACATATACACCATGGAATATTACTCAGCATTCAAAAAAGATAAACACATGCAATTTGCAGCAACATGGATGGCGCTGGAAGGAATCATGCTCAGCGAAATAAGCCAGAAAGAAAAAGAAAAATATCGGATGGTCTCACTCATAGCAGGAATCTAGAAAACTTAAATAAGGGACCAGGAAAAAGAATAACTATAAGAAAGAAAATATCGGGCCTCCCAGGTGGTGCAGCAGTTGAGCGCTGGGTTGCAAAGCTGCCCGCGGCCTCTGCGGCGCCGGTTTGATCCTCGGCCGCTCCCCGGCCACCAGAGGAGGGTCCCACATGGCGCGCAGACCTCTCCTGCCGCCCGCTGCTCCCCTCAGCAGTGTACTTCGGTCCTTCTGCCTGTTCTGTTCCCCGCTCTGGCTCTGGTGAATTCTCTCACCCTCCCGCGCTTCTGACTGTACCCAGTGCATGTATAAACAAAACAAACAAACAA